TCCTGTCCCCTCCCCGAATTCCACCTCCTACGCGCAGTTGTCATCGCGTCCGTTTCCTTGATGGTTACCAACTTATGCCGACAACTTGTCTAGTCCTCGCCCATTTTGCACAATCGAACTCTGTTGTCCTAGGAGGTCGAGTATTGTTGCCGCATGAAAAAGCGTTTTGTTTTAGTACGCCTAAAATACAACCTGTAAAAACCTTGATACAACTTTCAATGATGCATTATCCTCGGGCTGCATCCGCGCGGTCACTTTGTTTCTTCGACTTCTACTCACTATAGACTGGCTTATTTCTTACACAACGCTGCGTCCTTTGCGCATTGGTCGCTGGCTGACAAAGCCCAGACGCACACACTGGAGGCTAAGAATGTCAACGACTGTCACGTGGCTTGGTGAGAAGATTTGCGCCAACATACTTCTGAACCGCCTGTTACTCACTTTTGCCTCAATAAAGCCTATCCAACAACTCGGTCTTTTCTGACTTGCGGTTTGAAAACCTCCGCGGTGTCGAACATTTGCACTTGGACAAACTACTTTATCGGCGTCTGAGCGACTAGTGATGCAGGACGGAATTTTTAATCACTTGGCAGACTGTGAAGGGTGGACTAGGGAGGGCAAACGGTACAAGTTGAACGGATCAATGACCTTTATGCGCCTGGTGCCAAAGAAGAGGTTTACTGCGGGCATGATCTCGACACCATGAGTGACGGTGCGAACGTCGGCATGCTTAAATACCCAACCAAAAGAAAGCCTCAAACTAATGTTTGGCGGGGTGTGAGGAAGTGTTCTTTGGTCGTACGTCTCAGTGAAAGTTTATTGGTTGTTTGGAAAGGCGATGGAATGCATAATGACGCATAATCAGTTGGGGATGGTTGTAGGATGCTGACGAACAACGCGCAAATTGCATTTTGCCGATACGGGAGTCGGATCAAAAGCATCGCATCGGATCAAGCACGCACTACTTGGGCTGCGCGCTCGTAACAGATGCCACACATGTGGTTGTGGTGGCACGCCAAGGCGCGGGTTCACGCCGCACCAGCCATCTGTGTCCGATTCCTGCATCTGAGCACCAACCAGTTCGGTCAGTGTACTGGTGCCTGGGAAAGGGTAGAGAGAGAGGCCGACTCTGGGAACTGTTTCCCCACGACGTTCGGGCATAACTTCTATCTTGTCGAAAGACAATTGAAAAAGTACCAGATACACGTAGCGCACCAGCCGGCAACTACCTTACGCACACAGCTTGTGCACCCTAAGGACAGGGTCGGCTACCTCGAAAGAAAAGGTGTCGTCTACAAAATCCCGTGTTCTAGTTGTGATGCCGTTTATTGTGGCCAAACTGGGAAATCTGTCTCAACCCGTATACATGAGCATCAGTTAGCGGTGAAGAGACGCGACCATCTATCCCAGGTGGCCATGCACACACTAGACACTGGGCATAAATTCGCATGGGAGAACACTCGCATTGTTGGCGCCTGCCAAACAAGAAAAGGCCGCGAATTCCTGGAGGCAATGCACTCAGATGAGGCATGCATCAACCGGCATATCGATTTAGATGCCACATACAAAATCGTTAAGGACAGATTCAAACTGAGTCAGCCAATCCCGAGATGACAACCTTAACCAATCATGAACTCCTTTTGCTAGACTCAGTCTAAAAGTTAACTGTTTTTGCACACCCGTTGTCTGAAGACGAGCTGGGGAACCAGTCTTGAAAATTCACAATAAAATTTTGCTGTTTCCCAAAGAACTTCACCTTTCTAAAAATATATAAATATATGAAAAAGGAAGAGGTTCTTCGGATGCCTACCACTTCTACTCTACAACATATAAATATATATATATATATGTAAATATGGAAGTGTTTTTTGTGTGTTATAGGGAATCTCCGAAAGTACTGCACCGGTTGCGCTGAAATTTGGCCACAACCTTGCCCGCGCATAGGGCCGCGTTTTTTTGCCTTTCTTCATAATCGTGCAGATGGCACGCCGGTGATGGGTAAAAAACCGGACTTTTTCTTACGTAACAACGCCTCCTGCTGACGCGTTGGCCTGCGGCCACGTCACCGGCAGCCACTCGGACGTACGTGCGTCCGTCCAGCCACTTGGCCGACATCCGCC